ATTTGAAAAAAGATTCCCACAGCACTGGTGCCCAAACACTCATCAATCCTGTTTTACAATGGGCTCTTATCTTGCAGAGCAACCAAGTGTTATGATCAGGGACTTTATTATCTAATCAAAACTATATTTCTAAAATTGTATTAAAAACAGTACATATTCAAAATATTAGTTACAGCATTTGCATGTATATAAAATGAAAACTTGACAAGACTAAAGTAGTGAACAACCCAGCAAGTATACAATATACCCTGAATGGGACCATAACAGCATCCTAGGCATGCCAAAAATTGTGAAACTACATTACTTAAATGAAGGAAGGTACAAGTCACTGGAATGCAAAAAGCCTAGTGAAAGAAGCAGGGAACAGTTTACCAATGGAAATATTTTTTGTAGTTTTGATATAAAACAACCAATTTAATAGCTTTAACTATTAGATTAGGAATTGATAAGACTACTAAAATGTTGATTGTATGTATAGGAAAGGTCCCAGAAAGGAATAATGAGGGAACAGAATTGGTTCAATTATATTTTTATAGAAGTCCTATAGAGGCCATTATTTGGCCACCTTTATTTTTTTATTTATTAATATAAGGTTATCTTGAGATTCTTGAGGTTATGTCGAGATGATTTCGGGGCTTTAGTGTTCCCGTGGCCCGGTCCTCGACCAGGCCTCCACCCCCATGAAGCAGCCCGTGACAGCTAACACCCAGGTACCTATTTTACTGCTAGGTAACAGGGGCATACGGTGAAAAACTCTGCCCATTGTTTCTCGCCGGCGCCCGGGATCGAACCCAGGACCACAGGATCACAAGTCCAGCGTGCTGTTCTTACATTCTTATAAAGCCACTAGCATGCATAATTTGGGCAGGTCTTTTAATCTTAATTTATCAGGAATACAACCTGCCAAATTGTTTAACAACCAGGTACCCATTAACTGCTGGGTGAACAGAGGCATACAGTAAAGAATTGGCACCTAGTCAATCCTCCCCAGTCAGGATATGAACCCGGGCACAAATCACTCGAAGTGCAGGATGAATATCTTACCATTGCGCCATAGCAAACTTTGAGAGGAAGATAAAAGATCTCTGGCTAAACACATCATCATTACATGAACTAAGGTCAGAGGAAGAAAAAGCATGGCATGGGATATACTTTGCAATGAATATTACACATGCACATTATCAATATTCTAACCACCATTCCAGAGGATGAAACTACAAACTCCTTGCATTAAATGAAGCATCATAACTGCACTTTAACACTGGTTTGCATACTGAAGAATGAGAATACCACTAATGTTCCCAACTTTACTTTCCAAGCAGGTGCCATTAAAAAAAAGAAGGGACATGTCTTAACATCTTAAAATATGCTTCCAACCGTAGCTTCAAAAGTACAGTGGTGTCTCCATTTACAAATTTAATCTGTTCCCGAAGACAGTTCGCAAGCCAAAAATTCGCAACGCTAAACGAATTTTCCCATAAGAAATAATGTTAGTTTAATTAATCCATTCCACACTCCCAAACATATTAACTTAAAAATAGATTTCATACCTAATTCACACAAATATTTAGTACTATAGTATGTATGTACAAATTATAGCTTACCTTTATTGATGCCTCGTTGGCGTATTGGAAATGGCGAGGCGGCGAGTGGGGGGAGGGGGGAGGGAGGGAAGGAGGTAAGGTATGTATTTAGAGTTCCCCTTCCATTATAACATTAAGCATTGATGACTTCTCTGGAATAGCAGTGATGATTTCTTTCTCTGGCACATTTTGCCTGAATAACCACTAGGACCTGCTTGTGGCTCCCTGCTTGTTTATCTCACTAAAAACCTTTCCATAGAGACTTTTTCCCCTACATTATAACACTTGTCTGTAGCGAGGCATCACAGTGTCATTAAAAAGGTTAAGACAACGGCCTACTACAGCTTGCTCTGGGTGAGTAGTTTCAACAGAAGTTTGCATTTCTTCCCATAGTCTACACCACTTCTTAATTATTGAGGCAGGGACATTCTGTACTACCTCTTCCTCAAATGAAAACATTTCCTCAGCTGCCTCTTGTTGCTGCTCCTTGTGAAGGGCTAGGACGTCTTCGGTGGTTAGTTCTTCACCGTGTTCCTCCACCAACTTGCAACACAACACTGAATGCCACTTTTATTTCTAAATTTCTCAAATCATCCCCTCCAGGTCAAATCATCATCCAGCTCACCTTAAACTCTTTCGTATCTACATCACTTGTTCCAGGGGTTTTCTTTAAAAGGTCTTCATGCAAAAGTTTTGCTTTTTCACAAACGATGGCCTCTGAAACACTATCACCCGCCAACTTCTGTTGTGTATCCAAATTAATAACTTCTCAACACCAAGTGGTTGTGTTCTTTGTTTTGTGATTGTTGATACACCTTTTGTCACTTTAGCACTCATAACGTCCTTTTTCGTAGCAATTACAGTGCATATCGTTGAAAGATTTGTTGTACTGCCTAGCTAGTTATACAACCTGTGTACCATTTTCATGTTTATGAATGATCTCTTGTTTTTGCGCTATGGTCATCCTCACGTGTCTTTTCTTAGGTTGAACCTTACCACTGACTTTCTTGGGACCCATGGCGTGATATATATTTACCTTTATATTCAAAACCCCAAAAAGCCGAAAAACAATTACAGTATATTCTTTACAAAGCATTCATGTGCAATCGTCACTAAGTGGTAGGGACTGGTAAACTGAAGTGTGAGAGCGACCGTACCACCAGGAACCATGCGTTAGGTCACCCCATGCAAACAAACTACGTTACCCGAGGCAAAGCTTGTAGCTCAATTCACTTTTTACAAAATAGGGTTCGTAGCCCGAAAAGTTCATAAATAGGGGCATTCGTAAGCCTAGGTGTCACTGTACATTAACTGAAGGAACATATTGTCATAAAACTGTATGAACTGCATTAATTTCATCCTCAAAATGAAGGTCAAGCTATTTAGTCTTCATTTTTAAGCAATATCTTATATCCTTAAATAGCATCACATTAAAAATAGTACAAAAATCTTATCTAATATCAAAAACATTGTTAAATATAGATTACAGTTATCTAAATTAGTACTGCAATTCAAGTGCTCAGGCAATAGCAGCTAAAAATTATGTACAGAAACTTTAAGTTTCGTGGAAATTTAAATTAGCTTTTATCTTTCTCCAATAAACAAATCTTGCAAGAGCATTCTAATAACAGAAAGGTGCAAGTTCAATCCATGCAACAATTCTTACAAAATACAAACGAAGGTACTGGACAAAATTCTTTACTTCATAAACACACACACACAATGAAAAAGTAATTTCAATTGTGTCTCATTAACCCTTAAACTGCGCATGGCATACATATATGCCAGGGGCCCGATGGTACCATAAGTTAAATTTTTCAAACTTGTTCTAACGCTTTCAAATTTTTTGTGCATAATCTACTATGTCTAATCACTTTAACTATGTTTAAATGATCATCAACGCAACTTGAAAAACAAGAAAATTACAAATAATTATAAAGTTTAATATTCAATATCTCAGATTTTCTGATCAGCTGCAAAAATATTAAATATCACCAATTATTCATTAAGTGTTGTTATGCTCTCAATATTATACGATCATTTTAAGAGATTTAGAATATAGATTTTCAGTGTAGTTTACTGGAAAAAAAAAAAAAAAAAAAATCGTCAAGATGGCATTTGAAATATGCACCAAATTCAGACAAAATTTATAACTCAAAACGTTTAGTTTATGAAAAAACCATTCTAATAGGATTGTAGAACAGACAGCGGTGCACACTATAAGTAAAAATGTGAGAATCAGTCAGAAACTGAATGTTTTGAAGCTGACAATGTTAAAACTTTAGTTTTATAGATAGTTGAAGTTATCGACAATGTATAAGGTAGTTTTAATTCATTAATTTACTTATATGTTTTAATAAACATTGTTTGGCATTCACTCGAATATGTGAAAGTTGTAGGTCAATGTGTGTTGAAATGAAGTCAAGAAAAAAATATAGGGATAATTACAGTATAATGATTTAGGGGATATATTTAGGGTATAATTTATAAAAGTCAAAAAGCCCTAACTTGGTCCCTAATCATCAATCTAAAGAAACAAGAAAAATAGAGTTTGAAATCTGAAAAAACAGCCAAAAAAATTTCAAAAACCCAAGTTCTTCCAGTTATGACTGATTTATTTGTTGACCAATTTAATCCTTTCTTCATATAGTTAAAGAAAAGTATGCATTCTCCCGGATGCAGACGTTACAACAAACTCGGCTAATAAACAAAGAAGAAAAAATCTCTCCTAAAAATAAAAAATGTGTGGAAATTGGTGAAAGTAACAGGTATTACTATTGAACAATGTATTTGTATGAGATATATATATATCAAAATAGAGCATAATAACACATTATTATTTGTGTTATTATGTATTACTCAGCAATGCTATAAAAGCACCAGCTGCATATCCACTTTGTGGGCACTTCTAACTACTGTACTACTATTCTTTGTGCATTGGACAGGTGCTTGCATCTGCTTATTACTGCATTATCCCTCAGTTCCAGTTAATATGACCTGTTCTAATCAACAAAACATTCTTTAAAAGAAAATTATAAAATCCATTTCTGAAAATATTGAGATGAAACTTTCACGATGCTGAAGCCAATAAGTTGGAGATTTGTTTAACATTAAATATTAATTTTCACATAATCCAAATATATTTTCACCCAGCCCCAGCTTATTTATGCATATGCATAAATGCATAACAATTTACAGCCAAGGCTGTAGCAGTGTAAGGGTTAATCTGTCCAGTTCTTGAAGATAGACCAGCAGAAAAATATTGCTAATTGACAGGAACCAACAACTATTAGATTTACAAATTCCCTATGCAAAAAGAAACTAAGTACTGGTACTGTGTAAAATTTCAATTCATAAAGATACTATTTCACTTCATAAATATTATACTACAATAAAGTGTATATAAAATATGCTTACCAATGACAGACGGCTCAAGATCCACAAACACAGCCCTGGGAACATGTTTTCCACTACCAGTCTCTGTGAAAAATGTGTTGAAGGAATCATTATTGTTTCCAACAGTTTTGTCAGAGGGCATTTGACCATCAGGATGGATGCCATGTTCCAAACAGTAAAGCTCCCAACAAGAATTGCCGATCTGGACACCAGCCTGGCCCACGTGGACTGAGATGCATTCACGCTGTGGGAAAACAAAAAATTACGCAATTTTTATATATTCACATGAAGAATTACACATACAAATCACAGTTGCCACAAAGAAAATGGCAGTACAGTACAATACAGTCAAATTCTGCAAAATCAAAGCCCAGATTTAGGTACACCAAAAGAAGTTTGAGCCCGATTTGCTGGTACAGTACTCGAACCCAATTTAAAATTATAAATAATGCTTAACCAGAAACACTAATAAAAAATAGAATAGGAGATCTAATGTAAAATGAAACCATCATGCATCTTGCTAAAATAGGACAATCAACCACAAAAATTTTGAAGTACTGTAACCACACGATTATCCGGGATTCGAACATCCGGAAAACGCCCTTATATGGCCAAAATCGTGACCAGAGAGTTACCTCAATATCCAGCCAAAATGGTCAAGGGAGCCCGGATAAAAAATCGGAGCCGGTTAACTTGCTGCCGATATTACACTATCCGGACAGTCGGCCGGATAATCATTGAATTGTCCGGATATGAAAGCCATGGGGCGGGCCGTACCGTATTAATCCCGTATGGCTGTGGCTGGCTGGCTCGAGGCGTATGATGGAGGAGGGGGTGGGGTGGGGTGGGTGGGCGGTGTCAGGAAGGTAGGAAGGGAGCATCAGGAGGGACCACCTGGGTACAGGAATTACCATTAATTTTAGAACAAATCATCATAGCCAAAAACAATTGAAATGCTAGTAATTATGTAATAACAAATATACAAGTTTCCTAAAAACAATGTGCACAGGCTGAAGTTTCCTTAAAAAATATTGAGAGTTTTTTCCTCCTGGCGGCCTACGTAACGAGCTATAGCTGCCCCAAGTGGACCCGTCCAACACTGGTCAACTCATGTGCTCCCGTCCCTCGTGTTATACCACAATGCTGCGCCATTAGTAAAATATTTTTTTTAAATAACTTTTACTTTCATAGTAACTTTGAACATTTTTGGCCAAGACTGTCTGGTAGCAGCATCAATCATTCTGGAGGTGTTAAGAGGAAGAAGGTTGTTCTAACAATTAAAGACAAGTTACGTGTTATACACCTCAACCAGTGAGGAGTCACAGGCACGAGCAAGCGAGCGCCTTCAACAAGCGAGGCACGAGCAAGCGAGCGCCTTCAACAAGCGAGGCACGAGCAAGCGAGCGCCTTCAACAAGCGAGGCACGAGCAAGCGAGCGCCTTCAACAAGCGAGGCACGAGCAAGCGAGCGCCTTCAACAAGCGAGGCACGAGCAAGCGAGCGCCTTCAACAAGCGAGGCACGAGCAAGCAAGCGCCTTCAACAAGCGAGGCACGAGCAAGCAAGCGCCTTCAACAAGCGAGGCACGAGCAAGCAAGCGCCTTCAACAAGCGAGGCACGAGCAAGCAAGCGCCTTCAACAAGCGAGGCACGAGCAAGCAAGCGCCTTCAACAAGCGAGGCACGAGCAAGCAAGCGCCTTCAACAAGCGAGGCACGAGCAAGCAAGCGCCTTCAACAAGCGAGGCACGAGCAAGCAAGCGCCTTCAACAAGCGAGGCACGAGCAAGCAAGCGCCTTCAACAAGCGAGGCACGAGCAAGCAAGCGCCTTCAACAAGCGAGGCACGAGCAAGCAAGCGCCTTCAACAAGCGAGGCACGAGCAAGCAAGCGCCTTCAACAAGCGAGGCACGAGCAAGCAAGCGCCTTCAACAAGCGAGGCACGAGCAAGCAAGCGCCTTCAACAAGCGAGGCACGAGCAAGCAAGCGCCTTCAACAAGCGAGGCACGAGCAAGCAAGCGCCTTCAACAAGCGAGGCACGAGCAAGCAAGCGCCTTCAACAAGCGAGGCACGAGCAAGCAAGCGCCTTCAACAAGCGAGGCACGAGCAAGCAAGCGCCTTCAACAAGCGAGGCACGAGCAAGCAAGCGCCTTCAACAAGCGAGGCACGAGCAAGCAAGCGCCTTCAACAAGCGAGGCACGAGCAAGCAAGCGCCTTCAACAAGCGAGGCACGAGCAAGCAAGCGCCTTCAACAAGCGAGGCACGAGCAAGCAAGCGCCTTCAACAAGCGAGGCACGAGCAAGCAAGCGCCTTCAACAAGCGAGGCACAAGCAAGCAAGCGCCTTCAACAAGCGAGGCACAAGCAAGCAAGCGCCTTCAACAAGCGAGGCACAAGCAAGCGCCTTCAACAAGCGAGGCACAAGCAAGCGCCTTCAACCCTTCAACAAGCGAGGCACAAGCAAGCGCCTTCAACGAGTGAGGCCTCGCAGGCAACCCAAATGCCTACAACCAGTGAGGCTTCAGCAGCTGGCAGTCAAAACTAACTTTGCTTAACGTAACTGTATAGTAATTTTAAGGTGTTAATTTTAGTGTTGTGTTAGTATATAGGTTACGTAAATTGTTAAGAATTCTTAACTTCAAAATGTGTGGCATCAAATCAAAAAGACAAACACCAATAAGGTAAGTTGAGATTTCTAATTGAATATTTAATAATTATATGTGGCAAGGCAATTCAAATTATGTTGTTTGTAGTATAAAAATAGTTGGAAATGGTCACTTTTGGACACGTAGGTGAAACAGTACCATTATCCGGAACACGTGAATATCCGGCTGGGGGTCCTTACCATATAGTCTGGATAATCGAGTGGAGACAGTACTGTATGACAAATATCGAATATTCAAGAAATACTTTTAAAAAATTTACTTTATTAATATGGATATGATACATAGGTACTAAAGGTAGGAGAAAGTATATATATATATATATAAAAAAAAAAAAAACCACTCACCCCCCGGTGGGGGGTGCCAGTGACTGTGTGGATAGCACGTTGGACACGTGATCCTGTGGCCCAGGTTAGATTCCCGGCACAGGCGAGAAACGATGGGCAGAGTTTCTTCCACCCTGATGGAGGCTCCTGTTGCCTAGCAGTAAATAGGTACCTAGGAGTTAGTCAGCTGTCACAGGCTGCTTCCTAGGGTGTGTGTGGGGGGGGGGGGGGAACACAGTAGTTAGTAACAGCTGATTGACAGTCAAGAGGTGGGGCAAAAGAGCAGAGCTCAACCCAACACAAGCACAACTAGGTGAATACACACACACACACATCGTAGCAGACGTGCGGAAACAGGCTAACATAGTTCCAATCTACAAAAGTGGCAGCAGGGAAGACCCCCTCAATTATAGACCTGTATCATTGACAAGTGTAATAGTGAAAGTATTGGAAAAGCTAATCAAAACTAAATGGGTAGAACACCTGGAGAGAAATGATATAATATCAGACAGACAGTATGGTTTTCGATCAGGAAGATCCTGTGTATCGAATTTACTCAGTTTCTATGATCGGGCCACAGAGATATTACAGGAAAGAGATGGCTGGGTTGACTGCATCTATCTGGACCTAAAAAAGGCTTTCGACAGAGTTCCACATAAGAGGTTGTTCTGGAAACTGGAAAATATTGGAGGGGTGACAGGTAAGCTTCTATCATGGATGAAAAATTTTCTGACTGATAGAAAAATGAGGGCAGTAATCAGAGGCAATGTATCGGAATGGAGAAATGTCACAAGTGGAGTACCACAGGGTTCAGTTCTTGCACCAGTGATGTTTATTGTGTACATAAATGATCTACCAGTTGGTATACAGAATTATATGAACATGTTTGCTGATGATGCTAAGATAATAGGAAGGATAAGAAATTTAGATGATTGTCATGCCCTTCAAGACCTGGACAAAATAAGTATATGGAGCACCACTTGGCAAATGGAATTTAATGTTAATAAATGTCATGTTATGGAATGTGGAATAGGAGAACATAGACCCCACACAACCTATATATTATGTGAGAAATCTTTAAAGAATTCTGATAAAGAAAGAGATCTAGGAGTGGTTCTAGATAGAAAACTATCACCTGAGGACCACATAAAGAATATTGTGCAAGGAGCCTATGCAATGCTTTCTAACTTCAGAATTGCATTTAAATACATGGATGGCGATATACTAAAGAAATTGTTCATGACTTTTGTTAGGCCAAAGCTAGAATATGCAGCTGTTGTGTGGTGCCCATATCTTAAGAAGCACATCAACAAACTGGAAAAGGTGCAAAGACATGCTACTAAGTGGCTCCCAGAACTGAAGGGCAAGAGCTACGAGGAGAGGTTAGAAGCATTAAATATGCCAAAACTAGAAGACAGAAGAAAAAGAGGTGATATGATCACTACGTACAAAATAGTAACAGGAATTGATAAAATCGACAGGGAAGACTTCCTGAGACCTGGAACTTCAAGAACAAGAGGTCATAGATTTAAACTAGCTAAACACAGATGCCGAAGAAATATAAGAAAATTCACCTTCGCAAATAGAGTGGTAGACGGTTGGAACAAGTTAAGTGAGAAGGTGGTGGAGGCCAAGACCGTCAGTAGTTTCAAAGCGTTATATGACAAAGAGTGCTGGGAAGACGGGACACCACGAGCGTAGCTCTCATCCTGTAACTACACTTAGGTAATTACACTTAGGTAATTACACACACTGTATATTTTATATGAATATTTTTATGGCAGAGTAGGGCTAGTTAAAAACAAACACCTTAGTGGAGCAGACGCATCATTCTGGTTCAGTTGTCAATTGCCCATTTCTTTCTGGTTCAACGTGATCTGTTCGGTTAACGTCGCACGGTACTTTACATTCTTTGTAAACCACTGACCATTAAGTTTTGATATTAACATCAAAGATGGCATGGGCTGTTTTAATTTAAGGGGCACATTTTAATTTAGATAATTTTTGGTTACAGGAGTCCAACAATACTGATTATAGCAATTTTATCTAGACACTTTATCTAGACAATTTATCTAAAATTTATACCAAAACAGAGATGCAGAACTAGGAAACAGGATTGGTTCAATAGAAATTGCGAGAGGGCTAGAGACCGAAAGACACAAAAATGGAATCAATACAGGAAGAGGCCGAACCCCCAAACATACCAGCGATACAAAGATGCGAGAAACAACTACACGGCAGTGAGGAGAGAGGCAGAAAGAAAT